TCTTCTGATTTCCTGGCCACAGTCTGCATCTGCAGTAACATTTGCACCTAATTTGGGCGTATTGGGTATTTTTGCCAAATTTGGTCCAGCAAATGAAAATACATCCTGCATATCAGATATTTTCATGACGATTCGTAACAGTAGCAAAATTACAGTTATGAAGTAGCATACGCAACATGAGGGGTCAAGGCATTAGGAAGGCTGAGAGCCACTGCCTTAGACAATGGCAGCATTTGAAATTTCAAGCACAGCAAGCGGCAAGCCTATTTTTCCAAGTCATGGTAGAGAAAATCTGAATTTGCTTTAAAGAAGAAGGGGAGAGATCTGGCACTGTCGAATACTTTGCTTTCTTTGCTTGCCTGACTTTGCAGAGGAGGAGAAAAACACAGCACAGCAGTCACCTTAAACTGGGGTAGATTTCTTTCCTTCTTTTTTACCAGATAAATGGTTCTCAGTGACATAACTAATTGTGACTCGCAGCACACACTGTATACTTCTCAGCAGAGAAGAGCGTTCCAAAAGACTTCCTTTATTAATCCGGCATTAACGCAAGAGCTTCCAGGGTTGCTCTTAGGCCTTGTCATTGCAGTTCGCTTCTAGCCTGCTGCTGACAGATTATTTCAAATACCCATGGAAAGGTCAACCAAAAAAAAAACCAACCCAAAAGGTGGAAATACACACTCTTTCAATCATGTGCGCACACTGGAGAAAGCCAGACCCAGCCGCAGAGCCTTGCGGGAGTGTCAAAACAGCAAGAGGTCCGGACGGTCATTAAAGACACCAATGCAAAGATGTACACATATCCTTACGGGTGCAACATTTCACCTCTTTTGCTATCATCCATTTGCCAAGTACAAATGAATGACAGAAATCACTGTCAATGCTGAAAGAAAAACCAAAGGGCATGCCTTGCCATTCAGTGCACTTTAAGGACAGATTACAGCTTTATTTGCACAGAATGAATATATAAATACGGGGAGACATAAATGATTTCTTCAGGAATGAAACTGACTGGTAGGGCTTGCCAGCAGGTCTGAATCAATTTCATCGTTCCTCTGGTTCGTGGACCCAATACACCCTTGGCAGAATAAACAATTCTAACAGGTAAAAAGGCGTGACAGTGCTATCTGTTACACATGTGAACATATTATTATGCTGGGAGAAGCAGATGCCCACCTACTGCCATTGTAACAGTGGCTCCGGTCCTTGCTCGAGCCCAGTGTTTCTCAACCTGGGGGTCGGGACCCCTGTGGGGGTCACGAGGGGGTGTCAGAGAGGTCACCAAAGATCATCAGAACACACATTATTTTCTGTTGGTCATGGGAGTTCTGTGTGGGAAGTTTGGCCCAATTCTATGGTTGGTGGGGTTCAGAATGCTCCTTGATTGTAGGTGAACTATAATTCCCAGCAACTACAACTCCCAAATGTCAAGTCTATTTTTCCCAAACTCCACCAGTGTTCACATTTGGGCATATTGAGTATTCGTGCCCAGTTTGGTCCAGATCCATCATTGTTTGAGCCCACAGTGCTCTCTGGATGTAGTTGAACTATAACTCCAAAACTCAAGGTCAATGCCCACCAGACCCTGCAAATATTTTCTGTTGGTCATGGGAGTTCTGTGTTCCAAGTTTGGTTCAAGTCCATTGTTGGTGGAGTTCAGAATGCTCTTTGACTGTAGGTTAACTATAAATCCCAGCAACTACAACTTCCAAATGAGAAAATCAATCCTCCCAACCCCACCAGTGTTGGGTATTTGTGCCAAATTTGGTCCAGTGAATGAAAATACATCCTGCATATCAGATATTTACATTATGAGTCATAATAGTAGCAAAATTGCAGTAACAAATCAAATAATATTATGGTTGGGGGTCACCACAACACGAGGAACTGTATTAAGGGGTCGCAGCATTAGGAAGGTTGAGAAATACTGCTCTAGCCACATTAGAATAGTAATAATCTAATAGAGGGACGGAGGAAATAATCTAACAGTAGTAGTAGTAGTAATAATAATAATAATAATAATAATAATAATAATAATAATCTTAAATAACAATAAACTTAATAATATTGTTACGCTATGTTTTTGAGGCCTTGGCCTTTGTAAGCCGCATCGAGTCCTTCGGGAGATGCTAGCGGGGTACAAATAAAGTTAATAATAATAATAATAATAATAATAATTAATCTATATAAATAAGGAGCCCCCGGTGGCGCAGTGGGTTAAAGCCCTGTGCCGGCAGAACTGAAAACCGACAGGTCGCAGGTTCGAATCCAGGGAGAGGCGGGTGAGCTCCCTCTATCAGCTCCAGCTCTTCATGCGGGGACATGAGAGAAGCCTCCCACAAGGATGATAAAACATCAAAATCATCCGGGCATCCCCTGGGCAACGTCCTTGCAGAAGGCCAATTTTCTCACAACAGGATGCTCCTGACACGACCAAAAAAAATATCTATATAAATAAAAATGTAATGTTCATTTGTGGGAATAACAGAACTCAAAAACCACTGGATGAATTGACACTAAATTTGGACACAAGACACCTAACAACCCAATGTATGTCCTTCACTCAAAAAAATTGATTTTGTCATTTGGGAGTTGGAGTTGCTGGGATTTATAGTTCACCTACAATCACAGAGCATTCTGAACCCCACCAAAGATGGAATTGAACCAAAATTGGCAGGGTTTGGTGGGCAGTGTCCTTTGGTTTTGGAGTTGTAATTCACCTACACCCAGAGATCACTGTGCACACAAGCAATGATGGATCTGGACCAAACTCTACACAAATATTCAATATGCCCAAATGTGAACATTGGCGGAGTTTGGGGAAAATAGAATCATGACATTTGGAAGTTGTAGTTGCTAGGATTTATAGTTCACCTACAATCACAGAACATTCTGAACCCCACCAACAAGGCCCATAGCCAGGATTTTGTTTCGGGGGGGGGGGGGGGGGGGGGGGGTCTGAGTTTGATTCGGAGGGTTTTGAGTGAAAGAGGGTCTACCCTAGCAAACCTTTTGTATCGTTACCCCAATAACCCCATCCATATGAGATATATTGAGCATGGTGATCAGATCATGATATGAATAAACATAACAGTTTAAATAATGTACCAGTAAGGCCTTTTCGCAGACCACCATGAGAATTTCGGGGGGGGGGGGATTGAAGCCCCCAAAGCCCCCCCCCCCCGGCTACATGCCTGCCACCAATGATAGAATTGGGCCAAACCTCCCACACAGAACCCCCATGTGAGCCACAGCAACGCGTGGCAGGGGACAACTAGTCTATATATATATAAATGCTCTGATCATAATGAGTACCTTAAAAACAAAAGAACCAATGAACGAAATCACACCAAATTTGGCAACAAACCATCTTACAACACAAGGAGTGACCATCACTCAAAAATTTATCATTTTGTCATTTGGGAGCTGTAGTTGCTGGGATTTATAGTTCACCTACAATCAAAGAGCATTCTGAACCCCACCAACGATAGAATTGAACCAAATTTTGCACACAGAACTCCCATGACCAACAGAAAATACTGGAAGGGTTTGGTGGGCAGTCCTTTGGTTTTGGAGTTGTAGTTCACCTTCATCCAGAGATCACTGTGCACTCAAACAATGATGGATCTGGACCAAACTTGGCACAAGCACTCAATACGCCCAAATATGAACACAGATGGAGTTTAGAGGATCCTGACATTTGGGAGTTGTAGTAACTGGGATTCACAGTTCACCTACAATCAAAGAGCATTCTGAACCCCACCAATGATAGAATCAGGGCAAACTTCCCACACAGAACCCCCATGACCATCAGAAAATACTTAAGGCCATCCAATCCAACTCCCTTCATCAGGGCAAGAAAACGTAATCAAAGTCCTCCTGACAAAGAGCCATAGATAGATAGAGATATGATTCACACACACACAGATATAGTATCATAGATTTGAAAGGGACCCTTTAAAGAAGGACAATGATATGTTGCATGTTCCAGGGTGGGCAAACCAGACACTCTCCACATCAACACTGACAAAGAAACAGCAAGAAATACTGTTTACCCACATGCATAAAGACAATACATATATTTTCTGGCGGCCAGAAAAAGTTAAATAGCCTCTGTCTATGTCTGTATATGTTTGTATGTCAAAATTGGCATTGAATGTTTGCCATATAGGTGTACACTGTAATCCGCTCTGAGTCTCCTGTGGGGTGAGAAGGGCGGAATATAAAAGCTGTAAATAAATAAATATATATATATATTAGAAACCAACACTTTCTCATTACTTTATTTTCCAGATCAACAGGCTGGGCCACAGCAACACGTGGCGGGGGACAGCTAGTAAATAATAAAATTAATAAATAATAAACTTAAATAATAGTAAACGTGGGAAGTGTCCGACGTGTGATCCAGTTCAACAGCCAGCAGAGTGTCTGCTGTGGACTCATCTTGTTTTGTTTCAAATAATAATAATGTTAAAAATAAAGTATTGATCGTGTTAAAAAACAAAGTATGGATTGTTGATGTTGCAATCTCAGGCGACAGCAGGATAGAAGAAAAACAACCGGAAAAGTTAACACAATATGAGGATTTAAAGATCGAACTGTAAAGACTCTGGCACAAGCCAGTCAATGTGGTCCCAGTGGTGATTGGCACACTGGGTGCAGTGCCTAAAGACCCTGGCCTGCACTTAAACACAATTGGCGCTGACAAAATTACCATCTGCCAGCTGCAAAAGGCCACCTTCCTGGGATGTGCACACATTATTTGCCAATACATCATGCAGTCCTAGACACTTTGGAAGTGTCCAACGTGTGATCCAATTCAACAGCTAGCAGAGTTTCTGATGTAGACTCATCTTGTTGTTTCAAATAATAATTATAATAATAATCTTCTTTATTTATATCCCATCCCATCTCTCCAAAAGGACTTGGAGTGGTTATCTTAAACAGGGAATGCATAAGAGTTTCAGCAAATGCAACTTCTGGGCTTCCTCGCCAGTTACCTCTGCTACAAATTCCTTAGACTGCTCTGTTACGGAAAAATCAGGAGCCGTGTCCTTCATTGCTCGGTAGCCTGAGTTGACAAAGACATCTGCAAACATCCAAAACCCTACATGGAGGATCTGGTTATATCACAAATGGGATTTGCTCTTTCTGCATTATGTGGTGCTCATAATAGGCCCCCAGTGGGAAGCATTAAACAGAGGAACTTCCCATCCCTCTCTTTTATCCTTACCCTTTATCTATTAAACTAATTGGTTTATTTAACAGAGAGAATTATAGCCCACCCTCACCAGCTCAGGGAGAGCTCAGATCCATATTCATGAAGGCATGCTGGCTGTCAGCTCAGGACAGAGGCTTCAGAAAGGACGCCTGCTTGTTGCCCTGATGGGTTTCGTCATGGTTGAGGACCATCTTCGTAGTGGGGGGCTGTGGGCACTGAGGGAGGAGGGATATTTGGACGACTGCCTCTGCTTATGTTTATGTCTTCATATCTAATCATTGTTTTATATTTAATTATCTTATTGATTTTAATGATCAGTTATATGTTTTGTTTAGATTTATGATTTGGTTTATACAAGGGTTGAATGAAAAGAAATGCCTCCACCTTCGTTACTTGGTTCTGGATGGGAATATTTTAACAGATCAAACGCAGAAATAATCCTTAGAATGTGCTCTCTAACTACCACTATTCACTTTTCCACATAATCACCAGACAATTGGATACATTTCTGCCAACAATTAACAAGTTTTCTAAAGCCATCACGGAAGAAGTCGACACAGTGTTTCTACAACCCATCATGCCCAGACAGGGGCGGCTCAACCCATTACGCAAAGTAAGCATTTGCGGTATAGTTGATTTTGCCCAGGGGCGCTCTTGAGGCGCTCTTGGGGGAAAATAGACCTTGACATATGCGAGTTGTAGTTACTGGGATATATATACCTACAATCAAAGAGCATTCTGAACTCCACCAATGATGGAATTGAACCAAATATGGCACACAGAACTCCCACCATGAACAGAAAATATATATCAGTGATTGGTTTGGTGGGGGGGGGGGGGGAAATACTGTTTGCTTGCCGTTGAAAATTACCTAGGGCCGCCTCTGTGCACAGAACTTCCACTAGCCAAGCAAAGCAATAATGTGACCCACACATTCTTGTGAAATGCTGATTATGCTTGAAATTTCTCTCTGAGTGATATGACGATCGTCCTAAATCAATTTGTCAACCTTTTGCTTGTGAAACTTGGTGATTGCTGTCACAGGACATTCAACTTTTTGTTGTCACGCAAGTCAGATGTTGTCACCTTAAGAAATGGGGCTACAAAGTGGAATCCACGATATGCGAGTGTGGAGAAGAGCAACTACAGACCACCTGCTGCAATGCAACCTGAGTCTGCTACATGCACAATGGAGGACCTTCTTATAGTAACACCAGAGGCACTCCAAGTGGCCAGATACTGGTCAAGGGACATTTAATTAACTACCAAGCTTGCAAACTTTGTGTTTTGTTTGTTTGTTTATTAAAAAATGCAATACAACTGTTTGGTTTGCTCCTGACACGATAAATAAATACGCAAGTCAGATGTTCCCATCTCAACATCTTTAAACTTACTCGCCCAACAACGCATAATACTCACATCAACACAATCACCATAAACATCTTGCATTGTCTGATGAACCTCCTTTGGGCTGATACCTTCTGCTGTCAAGAATTCAATGATTTCACATTGCTTAAGTCACATTGGCCAAGCAAAAGGTTGACAAATTGATTTAGGACAATCGTCAAATCACTCAGAGAGAAATTTCAAGCATAATCGGCATTTCACAAGAATGTGTGGGTCACATTATTGCTTTGTTTGGCTATTGGAAGTTCTGTGCACGATGAGTGTCTGCACAGGGTTCCATACTTCACACTTTAACAACACAACCAATGCTAAGGCTTCCCTCCAAAATGGAACTCTAGAGGAGAGTCTACTGACTACTGACTTGTTAAACAAACAAACAACAAACAAAACACAAAGTTTGCCAGATTGGTAGTTAATTAAATGTCCTTTGGCCAGTAACTGGCCACTTGGAGTGCCTCTGGAGTTACTATAAGAAGGTCCTCCATTGTGCATGTAGCAGGCCTCAGGTTGCATTGCAGCAGGTGGTCTGTAGTTTGCCCTTCTCTACACTCGCATCTCAGTCTACTGAACAAGCCAGTACCTGCCACATACCAGTACTGCCATCTGTTGAGGAGTTACAAAGGTGGAGGCATTACTTTTCATTCAACCCTCGTACGTATGTGAGGCTTTGAATTTTGCCATTATTTGTTGTAATCCGCTTTGAGTTCCTACAGGGTGAAAAAAGCGGTATATAATTACAGTAAACAAATAAATAAAATGATTAAAGGTCTGGAGACTATGCCCTATGAGGAGTGTCTTAAAGAACTGGGTAGTTTAGCCTGCAGAAGGGAAGGTTGAGCCATGTATACAGATGTGAAACGGTGTTATAAGAATGAGGAGCAGGATTGTTTTCTGCTGTCCTGGAGAGAAGGACTCGGAGCAATGGGTTCAAATTACAGGAAATGAGAATACACCTAAACATTAGGAAGAACTTCCTGACTGTAAGAGCTATTCAGCATTGGAACTCTCCAACTCGCAGTGTGGTGGAAGCTCCTTCCTTGGAAGCTTTTAAACCAGTGGTTCCCAACCTTTTTTTCCCCCAGGGACCACTTTAACCAGGGACCACTCTCCAACATTAGTTACGAATCGGTTTTTGGTCAACTTTAGATTCGGTTTGGTTACTTGGGGTGCTGATCCAGAGAATTGCAAAGTTTATGTTTTAAGCTACTTCAGCAGTGCTCAGTAGCTACAAATAGAAATGGCAACGAAGACCTGCATGATGTGGACTCCGCTCTTTTCTGAGGTTAGATTGGATTATTTGATTACAGTCACAGAGGACAAATGCAGTGGTTCATAATGGCTTTGGAAGCCTTTCAAAAATCTGCTCAGGGGGGTGTGGTAAGATTTCTTTAGAAATGTGGGCATTCTTTGGAGAACAAGGGTGGCCTTCAATGCAATGCCCCAAGGATGCCTCATAATATGGCTTGTCTGGACTCCATGGAAAGCACACTCATACACATTGAGATAAGCCTTGAAATTTGCGCCTTCACATGAAACCACTATGCCACCTTGAAGTGCTGTGAAGGATGATGCGATTCAATGAAAAATCAGCAAAAGAATGAAAACAGTCTGGAGTGTGGATTGCTGTAATGTAGATGCAACAATGCTAAATATGAATGGAAGCCCTGGAGTCCTTGAGCTATTTGAAAGCACTGGGGATTACCATTCTTCTAACTGGAACCAAGCTTATATATGAGACAAGTTTTAATCTTAGATACGTTTTCTTTGTGTATTATTCACAGGCACTTCTTTGTCTATTCTTGGAGGTGAGATAGTGGAAGGTGGAAGACTAGAGTGTTTTCATTTGTCCCAGTTTTGCAGGGTCCTGATAAATCCTGTGTCGTTTCACTTTTTTTAAATGGCTAAGCTTCTCTCTTCCTCCTTCCCTTCCCCTTTTTCTCTTGATCTACTTCAGTTATTGCGAGTGGATGTCAAAATGGAAATGTACCATATATTCTAGTGTATAAGATTACTTTTTAACCCAAAAAATCTTCAGGGGTCATCTTATACACGGGAGTCGTCTTATACGCGGGAGTAGTCTTATACACGGGAATGTTGTGGCTGAGATGTTCTCTGATGATGAGGATGATGGGATTCAGATTCCTGGCTCTTTTTCTGTGCCTCAGATCCCTGGCCCTGCTCCTAGGTCTTTTTCTGAGTCTCCCACAGACAGTACAGAGTCAACACAGCGGTTCTCAGAAGAAAGGAATGTTAACCAAGTAGATTTCAAACAGGTGGAGAGGCCTTTGCCTTCCCACACTGATAGTGAAAGTGCAGAAAGCCTTGATAGTGACCTGACCCGGCAAGCCCGTCTTGATTTGTGGGTCAGGAGGAGTTCTCACCTAGCCGGCAGATGAGAAGCCAACTCGGGGAAAGGTCATCGCAATGCTTTCATGTTGGTGAGAGCATAATGTTTTCATGTTAGAAAGGTATTTAGGCTACTTGCAAATGAAGATAAAGTGTCAGTTCAACGTAGCTTGTTAGCCTGAAAGCTTCGTGGAATTACCTTAGCTGGAAAGCAGCACACTTGGGGTTTGTTGCATTGTGATTATTGGGCAATTGTTTCACTGCTTGTACCATGGACTCTGTTTTGAACTTTGCCTATAGGATTGTGCCTCTTGGTTTTACCGAAAGATCTTTGGAACTATATATTGCATTTAACCTAAATCTTTGGAACTTTGGAACAATGCTTATTCTTTATTTTGACTTGGACTTTTCCCTCAATAAACAATAAAACTACAGCTCTTGTGTGGGGGTGTTTGGAAGCAAGGCGAAGCTTACTCTGAGTTGCAACAGGGAGTTGTCTTATACGCTGGAGTAGCCTTATGCATGGGAGTTGTCTTATACGGCGGGAGTAGTCTTATACGTCGGGAGTCATCTTATACAGCGGGTACTGAAACTTCCAATCCGGATTGGAGAATCTGTGGTTGCTGCATATTGTTGGGGAGCTCAAAAATGGCAGTGGCCCTGTCCCTGCCGTATGCAGCAACTGTATGAAAGCATTAAGGACGACACTGTACAAGTACGGTAGAAGAAAATCCATTCATCAGGGTTCGTGAACTTAATGCGGTCCTGATAGTGAGGTGAAGGGGTGCCTCACCGGGAAGGTGTAAGTGAAGGGCGGAGCAAGCTGCACGTGTCCGGGGCATCCGGGGTATGGAAAAAAGAGATAGAGTGGCTCTGGGCCCACAAAAACACAACTCTTTTACCTGTCTGGCCCGCCCTTGTATCCTATTACTGTACCTCCTCCTCTGCCTCTCAGATCTCAGTCCTGAAGACTGCAGTGAAGTGGTGCAGGTACGCATGTGCGAGATCTGAGAGGCAGAGAAGGAGGTACACTAATAGGAAAATTACCATATTGAAATAAAATCTGATGCTTTAAATTTTTTTATT